TAGTTTTAAATAATTTTTATCGTAAGTAGAATATTTTCAACTTTTTGAAAACTTATAATTTTTTTTATCAGAAAATTGTTGATTGCTTTAAATTGCTCTAATTTTCATATTTTCTGGAGCTTTAGGAAATAAATCATTTTTCGARAAATTTTACGGCAGTTTACTCCCTAATTAATAATATCTACAGATAATAATTATATTAATTAATATCTTAAAGAAAATAAATACATAATGTAGAAGTATATATTATATATATATATATTATATATAATATAATAAAATGAACAAAAATAGATATTTCTTTAGCTTCATTATAAAAGCTAAACTTTGAATCTGATAGTACCATTGTTATCATCATAAAAAAATTCAAAAAAAGAGTTCATAGTGAAGTAAAAAGTAAAAATTTAATGTATATATAGGTAAGCGTACTTTTTTAGAAAATTTCCCAATTTTCCAAAAAAAACACTCGTTTTTCCAAATAATTTTCCTAAAATGTCGATTCCTAATAATATTAAGTGTAGYGACTTCAGACAACCATACATAAAGTACAATACCTACTAACATAATAATAATATGTATAACCTATATTATATTATACCTATTACCTGAAATAATATAAATACTTGAAAATTCTAAAATTTTAGAATTGGTCTCGAAGAAAATATTTGGTGAAGTATCTATAGGCAGGTATACACAAATCATTTTGAATACGCCGTATAAGTATAGTAAGTATATGCCTAAATATATTAGGTATATTAATATATATATAATAATATGATCGACAACTGCAGTTCTACAAGTCAAATATACTTATCATTCATACGGGAACTTCTATGGTTGGTACATATATATAGGATATTATATATAGGACAGTGAAATGGAGTGCGCACGATTACTGTGGTTGCCAATGGGGTTGATGATAACGGTCCTACTTCCGCACGGTAACACGGCCACCTTGATAGACCTGTGTCACGGTTACCGGTACGGGGTGACCACGTGCTRGGACCCGACACAACGATTCAACGTATTCGACGTGCAAACGGGATCGGGACCGAACGGAGCGTTCACCACGGAGAGTTTCTCGATGCCCGAACACTGCGGCACTCACTTGGACGCGCCGTTTCACTTTAATCCGAACGGTTGGAAACTAGAAGACATCCCCCTGGAACGGATGGTGGTTGAAGGTATATAACTGCGGTTTGAATGCAACCCAGCAGAGATTGCGACAGAAATAATTATCCGTACACTTAGATGGAGTTTGACACACGCTTAACTATTTATTTAGATATATATATATAACCACGGTATCGGGAAAAATATGGGACAATCAAAACGATAACGTACGATGATGCATTGATACTTATATATTAATTTAGTATTAATTTGAGTAAAAAAATGTAACCAAGAAAACGTTTACTTGCTAAAWTAGAAGCCAATTCGGTGTTATGAGTTATCTTGTCTGTTTTCGGTATCTCGGTGAATAATCTCAATGCTTTGTGTATTAATATTTAACAATATATTATATTCTAATTCATCATATAAATTACTTAACTACGTAATAACGTTACTATACTTATATAAATATAGGCGTACACGTGAATGTAAGTAGCGAAGTCAACGGAAACAACGACTTTTTACTGACTGTTGGCCATTTGAAAGCTTGGGAACAAGCCAACGGTCCGCTGCCCAAACGATCCGTGATATTGGTGAACTTCGGTTGGGCTCACAAATTTGGTGATCGTCGGTTGTATTACAACAGTTTAAGTGAACCGTATAGGTACCTATATATTATTATTATACATCAATACTATACTGCCTACCAATTTAAATTGACTGCTGTTTCGAGGGAAAACCCTTTTTAAATTTTAATAATTAATTAAAAAGTAACTATAATAATATATTCAATGCTATTTTCAACAAGTGCAATTAAATATCTCGTTATTTAAACAATATAACGTATAACATATAAATATTCACGCGTATAAAAAAATCATATATGATTTCAAAAAATTTATATCACAGCTCTAATTTTTTCTTCAACCTATATAATAACAGTTTAACAATCATCGGTGAAACCTGCAACACGCTATGATGAWAATTAGGGCTCAGATATTTATGCAATTGCATATTTTTTTCTATTTATCCAATTTAATGCTAACCTATGTACAAATTTAATTCATGTTCAACTGAATCGAATAATAGTTACTATTTTTACTTTGCATATTTAATGGTTTTGTAATTTAATGGTATATTTTGACATTTTAAAAACAAAAATTCATATTTCAATTAATTTTTTTTTAAACAATTTAAATTAACAAACTATATAATTAATTTCACAATTTATATATCTACAATATACCTAAGCTTTATAGATGGTAACTATACAATCTACTACGCATTAACGTAAAATATAAATGTTTTATTATTATCGTATTTGTTTGGAACTTCGGACTACGGTACATTACTGGATACCTAATACGTATATTATAGCAATAATAGAATTTTGTTTACRGCAACGACTGGACAACGTATTATTAGTACGACTTAAATTGTCGTGTCGGTCGAAACGTTATTATATTTAAATTAAAAAATGTATTTTGAATTGTATTAAAACAAAATATTAAATAATMATAAAATATATTTTATGCTTTATGAATTATAATAATTTTTTGTGCATATTTTATGTTTTTAATGCATATTAAATTATAATGTTTAGCGCATAAACGCATACATGTTACAGTATTTWTAAGTGCATAAACATCTGAGCCCTAATRATAATTTAATATATAAATCATAGATGAGGTCATCATATACAGTGTATATAAATAATACATCATGTATAGGATTATGATTTATGACCCTATAACAAAATATAGCCAATGTTTTTAAACGCAATTTGCGTTGTGACATTTTTATTTTTTACCTGATATGCCTACATATGTAGTCACGTTTAATCTGGTAAAAACAATAATGTATAACCGAGATAGTTTGTCACCCACAGATTTCCCGGACTGTCTATAGGCGCGGCCCAGTGGATCGTCAACTCAGGAAAAGTGTACGGCGTCGGGGTGGACGGACCGAGCGTGGACCCTGGATGGTCGACGACGTATGAAGTGCACGGGTTGCTGTCCAAAGCCAATCTGTACAACCTGGAAAACGTAGCATTGAACGGCACAACACTGCCACCAAGAGGGTTCAAGCTAGTCGYCCAACCAATCAAGATYGTCGGTGGCACTGGCGGCCCTGTCAGGATATTGGCTTTCACCAAGAATCTGTTCAAATCAACATGATCGCCACCTGCAGTGCAGTGCCCTACCCAGGATTTGTTTTCGGAGGGGGGAGGGCTTAAACATCCATACAAAACTCTATAGGAAAATAGGAAATAATTTAAAAACATATTATATACATACATTTAATGTACCTATTATGCATTTAATATATTATATTAATGTAAATTGTCACAATTTTAAATCTAAGCTCACCCGTCAACATTATGACAATGATATGACACATTACTAAAAAAAATATCTTACCTGAAATTTCGGGGGAGGGGGGCTTAAGCCCAAAAGCCCACCCCCTGGATACGGCACTGCTGCAGCGGATGTGCTGAGATTTTTGACCTCGTATTTTTCCTCACTGTCACGTCTCACGTCCACGTATAACAAACTCTAAATAGATAACCATGCTCTGTATGTACATTATATAATAATATTATAACCTCATAATTACACTTATCCTGACGTGAGCTCTTCATAATGCAAGTACCATTTTTTTTTT